TCAGTAAAGGTGGATGGATGGTGTTAAAGGCACTGGAGAAGTCAAAGAACATAACTCTCACAATGCTCCCCGTCTTCTCCAGGTGAGAGTTAGCTGATTGTTCCACAGCAGAAATTAACCAATGCTCTCTAAGCTGAAAACCTAAAAGGTTTTTTTTTAATTTGGTAGGTACTATAATTAGGAAGACTAGCTGGAGAAATGACAGAAGGAAAGTCATGCAGGTACTGTATAGCCACTGATTTGATTTAAGGGCATTTAAGAGATAATGGAAACTTTCTTGTCATTTCTTGTCTTTTGAGGAATTATGAATTTAAATGAAAAATGTTTGAAATAAAATCTGCTAAATCCATTATTCACCATAGTAAAGACATCGAAATTTGTTAATTCATTGCTGGGAAAGACATAGGTGTTAAAATGAAAAAAAAAATAATGAGGACATAACAGCATGTCCAGGCAGTTTTCTGTAAACAAAGTAGGTGGTGAATTCCATAATAGCTTTTATTTTGTGTGTGGAAACTGTGAATGTGATGAAATTCTCTACAGGCAATGAAAGAGAACATGAAATTTTATGAATTTTAGATCATAAGTTTGGGGGAATCAATAAATGGATTAACCGTAAAATGATGGTTTTACATTGATAAGTTATGCATCCAAGTACAGTAACTGCATATGAGCAGTGAAAGAAAAACAAGAAGGTTGAAATTCAAGAACACATTGCAATTTGAAATGTGGAAAAAAGCTGTCATAGACCCCATTTTACTGAAATTGCCTGTGGAGCCTGGTGCATAAGTGACACTGAAGTACACCAGATTTTTCCAGAAAAAAAAACAACTATTTTCTGACTCAAAAGAGCCCCAAGGATTCTTTTTGAAAATGGCAAAAAAATCATCCACAGTACAATAAGTCTAAATCAGTAGTTTAAATTCATAGAGTGACCACAACAAAACTTTTGAATAAATGCTCAACACCATTCGAAGCCTTCTTTTAATATAAAAGATCCTTCTTCCATTTGCTTCTAAGCAACATAATGCTCATTGCTTAAATAGAAACCAGAAACCAGAAAACCAGATTCCAAATGTTCCAAGATGAACCAGAATAGTGCAGTACAATACAAAGAAAAACAGAAAAACCTTCTGCAGGAATAACCAGAAATTCACTGATTATAAAGGAATAAAGATGGTGACTTATTTTACCTGATGGTTTTCTTCTTAGTGCTTAGTGCTTAATGTCACTCATATTATTTTTACAACCAGTGTGATTTACACTACATGCACTAATGTGAGGTGAGGTACAGTGTACATGTATATACTAAAGCTCCACATTCTTGACCCTTTCTTGACCAACAAGCTCACCCCTCACAGTGCTTGACTCTCATACTCATATTACTAATTTGCTGCCCATTCCAGTCTCTCCCAAGTGTTTCATTTAACATTGTAATGAACACTAATAACATCACAAGTAATTTTTACCCCATCAGCTACAAAATGCAGTGCGGCAGTGCAGTAGTTCTGTGGCTAAGGATCTGCACCTGTGACTGGAAGGTTGTCGGCTCGTATCCCGCAGCTGGTAGAGGAATCCTACTCTGCTGGGCCCCTGAGCAAGGCCCTTAACCCCAACTGTTCCAGGGGCGCTGTATAAATGGCTGACCCTGTGCTCTGACCCCAAGCTTCTCTCCCTGTCTGTGTGTCTCATGGAGAGCAAGTTGGGGTATGCCAAAAGACAAATTCCTAATGCAAGAAATTGTACAGTATATGGCCAATAAAGTGATCTTAAAATCATGTTTGAAATGGACTATGTTTAGGAGCTGACTACAGCAATGAGTATAATCATGAAGTTACATAAAAAACAGTGAGAAAAAGCAAGAATGAATGGTGTTTTCATAGATGAGGGTAAGAATGGCTGGCTACCCTTATTGTGAGACTGAATTATTTGCAATGAGTGTGTTGATGATATTGTAATTTTGTTGGTCTGTACTTGAGCCTCTCCTGACTTTAATATTTTTCTTGTTCTGGTCTCTTCACACTTTTTGGCTATGGCTGAAGGTCTTCGAGTCTGTGTGTTCACAGGAAGAAATGCCTTTGTGAAGTCAGTTTCTCATCTATTGCCTATTCCAGGCTCTCCCCTGAGTGTTTAATTTTAATGCCCACTCAGTGGCGTTCAAAATATGTGCCAACAACAATTGTCAGTGTGTGCCTCTCTTTCCTGTGTTGTGCAGCAAAGAACCTCCACCTGACAGGGAGACCAGAGCTGTAGCTTGCTTGGTTTAAGGAACCTGTCTGAGAATGCTGATGAGAAACAGATGGCAGTCAAACACTAAGCATTGCAGAAAATAAGTAACCAACTTATACTTAACATAATCAGGAAGCAACAACTAAGAGTGGAGTGGCCCTGTAATGGAAATCTGCAGAGGCATCTCTCTGTGGTGCCAGGCATGAAATGAGTGTTATTGGGAAGCAGCCTGAAGACTGTCAGAAAGATGAGCAATGGAAGAACTGATAAATACTCTCTAGACATAGCTGTACGGCGACACTGAGTGATGGGAAGTACGATAATTTGATGAAGATATCTTAAATATATTTCTAGTAAGAAACTATTATAATCTCCATACTCTCCAGTAAAAAAAAGCACAAATGGAACAGTCTTGAGGGACTTGGTATACCACCCTTCCCAAGAGGTCCCAAGTTAAGTCTTTGCCAGTCTAGGGGTATTTTCACAGGAGGTTTATGAAGGAGATTGTATCTGTGTAACCAAGGGAACAATTAGTTGCTCTTCTCTGCACCACCATCTGTTTAATTTCCCCTCAGTTGGAGCCATGTACAGGTACTCGACAAAACATGAAAAAAAACAATGTAACAATGCCATTGATATCCTGGAAGACATCATGCCCAGCAGGAAAGATGCATATGCAGCTTTTAGGGGAATTAATTCACCCAAACCATACCAGGAAAACACACCCTGAAACATTACAGAACCTCCAGAATCCTTGGTTCTCTTTTGGAACCAAGCAGTTGCTCAGCTCCTTGTTGACATCAGCATATAGTCATGCCCATCCCTCTTTCAGAGTCATGCTAGCCATAATTATTGGGAACCAGGCCTTTCTAGCATTTTATACATGATTCTACGCAGTCTGGGTCAATATTGCTTAATGCTTATAACCTTTGTTTTCTTGCTTTCAATATAATTGGTGCCTCTCATTTATTCAGGTGTTTACATTTTTCCCTTTTTTTAAATACATTATATTTACATGGATAACATTCATTATAATCTTTATTTTGTTTAAAGATTGCACTGCTTATACAGTAGCTCAGAGAAGCTGTTAAACAAGGGCTTCAAGCTATTTACAGTACAGTATGATGTTATTTTTTGTATTTCCCTTTCTTTGTCAAGGAAAACCAGGTTTGTAAATATATGATTCTGTGCTTTGATGACAACATTAGAATCTCTTGATTTATTTTTTAAAGGATCCCCAATTATTTGTCTTTCATGCTCTTTAATATGGATTTGGCAGTTTAATCTTGGTGTTCACACTCAAACCGTGATAAAGAAAACATCACAGACTTAGCACGCCATCTACCTCTGCTCACACTCTAAGCTCACTGCATTAATGGCAGATCTAGGGCATCAGACTGACAGCTGAAGGTGCTGTTGCCAATACACTACAAGCACACAGGTGCCTGGCAAACCAAAGGTGGTGCTGTATTAGTAAACTGAGCCCACCCAACCCTACATCCCAAACCCATTTACGTCCTGTCACTTGGAGATTCTCAGTCTTAGTAGCTTCTAAACCAGTTATGAATGCAGCATGTTCAGTATTCTCTGTACTGACCTAGCCACTTTGTCAAGCCATCTTTTCATGTTTATCTTTGTGAGACTGAATTATTTATTAAGTGTATGTTAACCATGATTCCCTGATGTTGAAAGAAGCTAATTATAGAGAGACTGGCCTCATTGTTGTCTTACGTACATGGCATTGCTTTAATCAAATTTCAGTTAGTGCATGATTCAGCCTTTTTGGAAATGAGTAGCCACCAACTTGGCATGATAGCTCTGTTTTTTATTTTTTGTTTGTGTAAGGGAAATTTTATAGAGCCAAATGAATTCCAAGATGTATCAACAAGCCAACAAGTAATACATCCAGTCAGGTTTATAGGGTTATGGGTTATTTCTCTTTAGAGAAGCAGAAATAAGCACAGCATCTGAGTCTAGATGAACTTGGATCACTCATCCAGTCATCTCTTGGGTGACAGCCAGAGGCTAATGAGGAGTGGTGTGTTTGCTGGAAAGTCCGGCTTGTACCAGCTGTGCACTGATGTTTTTTTTCTTGACATTGAACACACCAAAGCATTTACATGATATCAAAATTAAAACAGTTTGCCAGCAACAGTGTTCAACTTTAAATCAGTACTAACAATTCAAATAGTATTAATTCCAAGATGGAGAATCCATTCATAACAGCTTTGTCTCTTAGCTCTGCAATAATATTTCACCAATATTTTGAGTGCATGAGTCCTGTACCTCTCATCCCTTGGCTTTTAAGATAAACGCTGGCTTCACAAAATGTTTTATAATTTTGTCTAGTGTTCACACAGAATGGGAGGATCAGACATAACAGTTAACTATGCTAAACCCCACATCAACCATATTGCACATTCTGTCAAAGAAAGCAAATTATTTTAGCTTTTCATATTTGTTGGACCACTATTAAAGCAAGACTTTACCTTATATATCCAGGTTTTCAAGGTGTTTGCTGGAGGCAAACTCTCCCTGTACAATTATTTAATACTATCTCCAGTACACAATGTCCTACACAGCTGTGGGTTGGATCCCCTTTTTATTTTGTAGTATTTGATTGTTGAGCTCAGACAGGTGTTATTGCTCCTATACAGTAACCTGAGGGCTTAGTCATCATGGTTATAATTCTAAAGTTCTCTGTTATTGCTAAGATTTTCATACATTTGAGATTTTTGTCAGCTGTATTTTACTCTCTGCTGATCTCACAGGATCGCAGCAGCCAGGCACGCAGCACTATGGTGACCCTGGAGGATTGGTGATGAACCCCATTGCTCCAGCTCTGCAAGTCCAGCCTAACTCTCCTCACCTTATCCCACCCTACCCACCTCCTCCATCCTACTGCAACCAGCCCCCACCATCCTACGAGCAGGTACTGAAGGCCTCGGAAAAGAAGCAGAGCTCCTGAAAGGACTGCTCTATATGGCTTTTTTCCCTGAAGGACAAAGGTGGTTGTTTTTTTTTTTTAAATAATGGTGAGACCTGTTTTCAGTCAGGAGAAGGAAAAGATGCCTTTGTCTAAAGCATAGGTTTTGCACAAGAGTATTACCCGAGCAGAACAGGAGCCCCTATTTGGTAAATCAAATCACATCTTGTGCAAATTTTCTAAATATGAAGCTTCATTGTGTACAGCTGAGGAAATGTAAAGTTTTTTATTTATATTATTCTTTTACTTTTAAGTATTTTCAGATGTTTTCCCTTTATTAAAAATCTCATTAAAAAATTGAAATGTTTTGAAAAAGGAAAATGTCTTATTGACGGGTAAGCTGCTTTTAGCTACTGAAACTGTCTTTTCCTCATTACCCAGATGGTAATGCCATACTGGCCATAGTACAAACATGGTGGTATTAACCTTTGTGCCCTACTTGACCTACAGAGTTTTATACGTTAAGATTTTAAGAAATGAAAAGGGACACATTTTTGGTAACTAGGTGGCAGATCTACTTGTATAGTGCCTGGAAACCATTATTCATGCATGCCAGGCCACAGACTAGCAAAGATCATCATAGAGTACTGTCCTCTCTTCCGAAGACCTGCTAAGTTAGTGATGAATGCAGAATCCAGAAATAGGGCACAGAAGCTGTATAAAATGGAACAGAAAGAGTAGAAATTCATTTGTGAGTGAACTTACTGTGATTCTTCTCATCCAGTAACAGGTACCACTGAGCTCATGATTTATGTTTTTATTTTATTATTGAGTTGTTTTACTTTTAAGTCAATTACTTTAAAAAGAACTTTGCCTTACTTAAAGCCATCTTATTTGTTTGCAAACTAACACAGTGGTTATGAATTTTTACAGGCAGGGCATAGAGAGTAGCACCTCACAGACTGTGGGGAGAAATGAACATGCATCAGTGGATGGAAATCAAAGTAAAAGTAAAAGAAAAAGTAAACACAGATAGGACTAAACTTTCAAAAACATTTTTAAGGATATTTGTTGAATCACTGCCTTTGTAATCTGATTATAATTTTCCAACAATAGTTTTGAAACACTACAAGACAACATACAGTTGTGTGAAAAAATGTTTGCCCCCTTCCTGATTTCTTATTTTTTTGCATGTTTGTCACACTGAAATGCTTCAGATCATCAAACAAATTTAAATATTAGACAAAAGATAACACAAGTAAACTCAAAATGCAGTTTTTAAATGAAGGTTTTTATTATTAAGGGAAAAAAAAATCCAAACCTACATGGCCCTGTGTGAAAAAGTGATTGCCCCCTAAACCTAATAACTGGTTGGGCCACCCTTAGCAGCAACAACTGCAATCAAGCGTGTGGGATAACTGGCAATGAGTCTTTTACAGCGCTG